CGCCAAACCGTGGCAGAATCTGGCTGACTATCTGAACATGTACCCCACGTACGTCGATAACACCACGGTCGGAGGCGGGTCCTTCGAATTCCATCTTTCCCACGCGCTCACGGCCATCGCCGCCGGACGCATCAACGTTGCTGTTATCACTTACAGCAGCCTGGCCCGTTCGGGCGGAGTTTCCGTCGGCACGGGCGGCGTGGGTCGCGCGTCGGTCATCTCTGCGACCCCGTCTCCGACAGCTTCGAGGAACTCTACGGCCTCACCACCGTGGGCCTGTACGCATGATTGCCCGCCGACACATGCACCTTTTCGGCACCACGTCCGAGCAGCTGGCCGAGGTTTCCGTCGCCATGCGACACCACGCTTCAATGAACCCGGAAGCCCTCTTCCGCGATCCCGTAACCGTGGAAGATGTTGTCAACTCTCGCGTCATTTCCGATCCGCTCCACCTGATGGACTGCTGCGTCATTACCGACGGCGGCGGCGCGGTGGTTGTCGCCTCGCGAGAGGTGGCCCGCAATTGCCGCCAGACGCCCGTTTGGGTGCTTGGCGTCGGGGAGGCCATCGCTCACCAGGGAGCCGGCAAGCGTGACCTCATCTATATTGCCGCCCACCAGAGCGCGCCGCGCGCTTTCGAGATGGCCGGTGTGACCCACGACAACATCGACATGGCCATGGTGTACGACTCCTTCACCATCACGGTCGTAGAAACCCTGGAAGACCTTGGTTTTTGCAAGAAGGGAGAGGGCGGAGAGTTTGTCAGTGGCGGGCGGCTCAAAGTTGGCGGGGCATTGCCCACCAACACCGACGGCGGCGGCCTGTCGTCGAACCATCCCGGTATGCGTGGACTGTTTCTCCTGCTGGAAGCCACCAGGCAACTTCGACACGAATTCGACGGCACCGGACGCCAGGTGCCCAATTGTCAAATCGCGCTGGCCCACGGCACGGGCGGCGCCCTCGGTTCCCGCCATAGCGGCGGTACCGTCATCCTGGGGAGGGATTAACCATGCCGGAATGGAACAGGCCTTTGCCGACTATCGTCGGTGAAACTCGACCCTTTTGGGATTCGTGCCGTCGCGGACAACTGGTCATCCAGCGCTGCGACGACTGCAACGAGTATCAATGGTACCCCCGCGGTATCTGCGCCAACTGTTGGAGCGAGAACATCCAGTGGGTGCAGTCCAGCGGGCACGGCACGGTGTGGACTTATACCGTAACCAACCAGAACCGGACTACCGGTTTTGAAGAGATGGTCCCTTACGTGCTGGCGCTGGTGGAACTTGATGAGGGGGTCCGCATGTTCACCAACATCGTGGATTGCAACCCCGCCGACGTGTCAATTGGAATGGAGGTAGAGGTAACCTTCCGGACCGCTACCCCGCAGATCAGCATTCCTTACTTCAAACCCGTGGGTTAGCGCCTGCAAACCCGCATGAATAAACCCCCGTTGAGCAAACGCCCAGCGGGGGTGTTTTTTCGATCAGGTTGCTGATGTTGTCGGCCGGTACTCGGGCGGAGCGCTACCCCCATTGCCGCAGGCGTATTGCCTCGCTCTCATCCATGTCGGCCTGGGCAGCGTCCGGTTCGTCGTTGAATAGGTACGACAGCGAACGGCGTGAGTAGTAATTATCGTCCGCGGGGTTGATTCGGATGGCCTCGGTGAGGTCAGCGATTGACTGCGCATAATCGCCCACTTCGTACCACGAAATACCACGATTGAACCACGCATCGGCACAGTCGGCATCCAGTTCAATCGCGGTGGAGTAGTCAGCGATGGCGCGCTCGTAAACCCCATTTCGACTGTACCGATTGCCCCGATCCACGTATTCGTCGGCGCTGGTTGGCTCCGGCGGTGGCGTTGGTGTGTTGCGTGGCGTGGACACGTTTATGGTAACGTCGGCGACAGTAGAAGCAATCTACATTACCGAGCGAACCAGGCCGCCGTCCACCAGCATCGTGTACCAGTCATGTAACTGGACCGCGAAGACGCCAGGAAAGCCACCAGGTAAGCTAGTTCTTTGGGTTCGCCGATGCGTTTCAGGGCAGTTTGCTCGGCCGTTGGGACAACGCATCTTCAACCGAGATCCCCTGGGTCCGCGCCCGGTCCTCCACGTTCTCCATCATGCGCTCCGACATGATGCTGCGGGGCAAACGTTGTTGATCAGGATGTTCTCCTGGCCGATATCGTCGGCCAGGTTTTTCATGAAGCCGATCACACCCATACGGGTCGCCGCTGACAACGCCAGGTTGGGTATCGGGGTGTAAACCGTGCTGGCCAGTATGTTGATGATGCGGCCGCCGCCCTGGGCTCGCAGATGCGGCAACGCTTCGCGGGTCATTCGCGCACAAAGAAGAACAGCGAACGGTTGGCCGAAATCTGCCAGAGCTCTTCGGTAGAGTCCTTGGCGTACGACTGTGGAGGGCCCCCGGAGTTGTTAACCATAATATCGATCTGCCCGAAGTGGGCGGCGGTTTGAGCGACCAGGTCCTGGATGGTGTCTTCCCGGTCCAGGTCACCGGCAAACGTGAATATGTCTGCTCCGGTGGCAGCCCGGATCTCGTCGGCGGCCCTTTCCAGGTCGGACGCCGTTCGGGAACATATAGCGACCCGGGCGCCTTCTTCCGCCAGTACCTCAGCGCAAGCGCGCCCGAGGCCCTTGCTGGCCCCGCCCACGATTGCGACCTTTCCGTTCAATTGCAAATCCATTGTGTAGCCTCCTGAACTGCTGCCAGGATTATAACAGGCGGAACCTTGATACCATGCGGGCAAACCAGGGGGGACGGCAGTTTGGACAAGCCGTTGCAGAGCCCGAAAGCGTCTACAATGCAAACACCATGACCACCATAATCGGCGTTGATTTCAGCGGAGCCCGCGATGACCGCAATACGTGGGTTACCCAGGGGCGATTGACCTCTGAGGGAACGCTCCTGTTCGACGGCTGCAACCCGCCCGTCGCGAGGACTTGTTCGAGTTGTTGACTACGGTTCCAACTCCTGCCGTCGCCGCACTCGATTTCCCGTTCGGCGTTCCCGCAAAATTCGCGCTGGCATTGCAACCCAGGCGCGTGCCCATTGACATGCCGGAAGTGTGGCGCATTGCCGCCGCGATGACCCCCGACGAATTTGGTGACGCGCGCAACGACTACGTCCGGCGGTTTGCCGAGCCGAAACGGGCCGGCGACCTGGCATACTTCCCGGAGAGTTTTTCCCCGCTGCACCGCGCCAACCCCAACATGGCGCCAATGACCCACCTCGGTATGACCATGCTTCACGATTGGCACGAATCCTGCCCAACTCGTTGGCACGTGCCTCCTCTCGATGCTCCAACGGAGCCGGCCGATACCGTGACAATGCTGGAATTAATGCCAGGGGCGTTCCTGAATGCGATCGGGTTCGACCGCACCACCACCAAGGGATACAAAAAGGCTCAGCTGGCTATCCATCGACGAGACGCCATAATTAAGGGCCTGGAGGACGCTTCGAATGTTCCGTTGCCCAACCTGACCCTGGTGCGGATGGGTTGTCGCGCCAACGACGATTGCCTCGATTCGGTGGTCGCAGCCGTGGCCGCCGCCGCCTGGTGTTTGGACTCAACACGATTTCGTCATCCCGCCGCCGACGAATTGCCCGATGCTCGGCTGGAAGGATGGATTTACGTTCCCCGCACTCCGCGTCCCCAGGAGCGGCGATAGTCGGCGGTTAGTCTGCCAATCCACGATCGTTATTGTGTCGGACGCAGTTCCCCGATAAGCCCGCAGGTATCGCCCGGATCACAGGATCCTCCGGAACGGTTAGATCCGTTGTTCCGTGCTTGCCCCGCGCCGGTGGCGGCGGTAATATGAACCCAGCATGGGCGCAGACCCGTAAAGCAGGTGGGCAAATGGCAATTTACCGACTCTACGCTGGCAACGACGGCCAGTCGCACCTTGAGGAAACCAGCCTGGCAAACCATCCCGAACTGACCGAGGGCCAGGCGGCCCGTTCCATTTCCTTTCGTGAATGGCCTCCCGGCCACTTCATCGACTGGCATCCGGCGCCCCGACGTCAGTACATCATTTCGTTGGGCGGCGAGATAGAAATCGGTCTGGGCGATGGCACCACCGTGCGCTACGGACCGGGCGATGCCCGACTGGTTGAAGACACATCCGGACAGGGACACACCACCCGCGTCGTGGGCGACCAGCCCAGTCTAACGGCGGTCATTCCCCTGGCCGACTGAAGGATTCATCCTCATCCATACCATCTCTTAAATACCATCAAGGAGGCTACCAATGGGACAAATAATAAGGGTTTATACCGGCAGTGACAACGAGAGCCATTTCGAGGAACTTACCCCGGATCAATTCGCCGACATCGCCAACAACGTCGGCACCGGCGACCTCACCGTCGGCCGCCGCGAATCACCCAGTTTTTCCGATTACCACAACGCTCCCCGCCGGCAGTACGTCGTGAACCTCAACGGCATCGCCGAATTCGAGGTCGCCGACGGCACCACCGTGCGCATGTTCCCCGGCGACGTACTCGTTGCCGAGGACCTCACGGGACACGGCCACATCGCTCGAAGCATCGGCGATGATTTCCGCGTCTCCCTGGCAGTGCCCCTGGCTGAAGGCTAATCGCTGAACCTGTTGACCAGGCCATCTCCCGTTACGGGAGATGGCTAACCAGAGGAAAACCATGATCGTACGTATCTTCACCGGTGACGACGGCGAATCTCATTTCCAGGACGTTACACCCGACGAATTCGCCGGGATCGCCAACAACGTGGGCCCTGGTGACATCACCGTTGGACAACGGCCTCCGGGGTGGTGGGATGATTACCATACCGCTCCGCGGCGTCAGTACGTGGTGTTCATGTCCGGTGGCGCCGAGATCGAAGTCGCAGATGGCGGCAAAAGGCAATTCGGGCCCGGCGATGTTCTGGTGGCAGAAGACCTTACCGGACACGGCCATATCATCCGCAACACCGGCGAAGAAGCCCGGATCTCGCTGGCTGTACCCCTAAAGTAATCGGGGGCGTGCTTCGCCGGCCAGCAAACGTTGCAAGTGAATAAAACCCTGCTGTTGTCGGGCGGTTTTTGCCACCCGTCCCCAGCCGGGTTCTTGCAATAATGACGTCAGTTGCCGTGTAATCTCGTTCTCGCCAAGCAGATTGTAGCCACGATACAGACTCAGCATGGCGTGTGCCCCGGCAACGTCTCCCGAAGCCAAACGCCAGCCGTGGAGCAACGGTAACACTGCGTTCACGGCGATGTCTCGTGCCCTGCCCACACCAATGGGTGCAGTCTTTTCGCCCTCCCTGCCGTTCACGGCCAGGGACTCGGTCATTCGGGACGGCACACCGCTCGACGCCGCTCGCCACAATCCCGCTACCAGCCCGGTTACGCTGTAGCGGTCGACGAGCGCCGCTGCTCCCGTCAGCCGCCTCGCCGGATGATTGGCCGGCCGCACGCGAAACAGTCGCCATTGTTTCTTATCCAGAGGCGCTCCCAAACTGGACGGAGGCCACCACGCCGGACGACCGGTCCCAGCGTTGAAGCCAGCCCATATCATCAACCAGCCCTGCAATGCGTCGATTCGTTCGCCTGGGGGAATGTCACTGACGGCGTGGGTTAGCTTCCCGATGGGCACGGCGCCGGCCAACTCCACCATCGCGTGCTGGTTATGCCGGTATCCCAACGCCCGGAGGATTGCTTCCCAAAGCAATTGACCCGGTAATTCCGTCTCCAGCGAGTTGCGCACGAGTATGCTACGGGGCAAAAACCGCTCGTCGCCAGCCCGGTTCAGCAGCGCCGCCATCTGATCGGCGCAGTTTGGCCGTTGGTATCCGTATTGGGACAGCATCCGCCACAATCGTTGGGCTACCTCGCCATCCGCTGACTCGTCGGCGGCAATGTCCAGCAGGGAGCGCAATTCAACCACCGGAGGGGCCAGGCCGCTGAGGGTAACCGCCGGAACAGCATCGGGTTCCAGAGCAACATGCAGGGCTACGCCGTTGTAGTTGGGATCATGCTGGTGCCTGTGGGCCCGCCAATCCCGTTGCCGCAGATGGACTTCCACATCTCCGTGAACCAGACCTTGTCCTTCCACCAGCAGCAGTGCATCGGGAAAGTCCGGGCCGGCAGTGACGCCCGGCCGGCCGGCGTACAACACCCGAACTCTTGCCCCTTTGTCCGTACGCAGATCGGCGCTGCGCGCCGCGCGTCGTTCCCACAGGTTGGCCAGCTGTTTCTCCGTAATGGGCAGTATCGCATGGTCGCGCGAGTTCCCGGCTGGTTCACCTGCTTTATGATTCGCCATCAGTTAACACCGTATCAACAGATACCATCCGTGCTTGCCCTGCGTCTACGGCCTACTGTCATTACGTGTGGCGACCGTCCGCCGCGGTTTTCACGATAACTGTGAAAATAGCAGCACATTATCGTCGTCAGAAGGTTTCGCGGCGGTCATTGGAGGCAGCCCGGAGGGGTGGCAATTGCGAACCGGCAGCGACGTTGATCAGCCATTGATGCCGTGGGAAGGGGAAAGGTTTAGTGTGAGCTTCGGGGCGGTTGCGCCGGCTTGCCGATTATTCCGTCGCGGCGTAGAATGACGAAACTAATAGTAGGTAAAGGAGTGCGTCCGCAACCGGCGGCGACACCGTTTATCAAACCCAGCGATTGAGGTGAACCGGTCATGGCAGAAGCGAAAGGCCCCCTGGATGGAATCCGCGTAATCGACTTGGGTCGGCATCAGGCCGGTCCTCGCTGCGCGCAGGTACTGGCCCGTTTGGGTGCAGAAGTTATCAAAGTCGAACGTCTGGGCGGAGAAGAAACCCGTTATCACGCCCCCTGGGTTCGCAAGCAGTCCGCATACTGGGTGCAATATAACAGCGGCAAGAAGAGCCTGAGCATCGACCTCCGCAAGGAGCAGGGTAAAGAAGTACTGAGCAAGTTGGTTAAAGTCTCCGACGTCCTGTTGCAGAACTTCCGCCCCGGCACCATCGCCACCATGGGCTTCGGATACGATGTTCTCTACGAACTGAACCCCCGCATCATCATGGTCAATGTGTCCGCCTATGGACAGTTTGGACCATACAGCGACCAGATTGGATATGACCCCATCGGTCAAACCATGTCCGGCATCGCGATGGTTACCGGAGAAGAGGGAATGCCGCCCATCCGCGCCGGTGTGCCCATAATCGACCGCACCACGGCGCTGCACGCCGCCATCGGAACTTTGGCCGCTCTTCATGAGCGGGAATCCTCCGGAGAGGGGCAAACTATTGATGCCTGTCTCGCCGACACCGGATACAGCTACACCGAGATTCCCATCACCGCCTACCACGGCGCGGGCATTGAGCCCAAGCGCGGCGAATCAGCTGCTCCTCCGTCCGGCACCTACCCCTGCCAAGACGGCTGGGTACTGATCTCTGCCGGCGACCAGCACCACTGGCATCGCGTTTGCAACGCCCTGGGCAAGCCCGAATGGTTGGAAGACCCTCGCTTTACCACCCGCCACGAGCGCGGCAACAACGGCGAAGTCGTCAACCAGGCCATGATCGACCTGATGGCAAACATGACCATGAAAGACGCCATCGCCCACTTCACGCACCACGACGTGGTAGCGGCGCCGGTGAACACCATCGCCCAGGCAGCCCAGGACCCGCATCCGTGGGAACGGCGCGCGATGGTCGAGGTCCCTGACTTCCTGGCTGGCAGCATCGCTGTCTCCGGAGATTTCTGGCATTTCAGCCGGACTCCAGCCATTGTCGGCAGCACGCCGCAGGTGGGTGAGCACAACGAGGACGTTCTCACCGGAATGCTTGGCTACTCCGAGGACGAAGTCCAGTCGATGTACGAGGCCAACGTCATTGGCACCCTTCCATCATTACGACGAAATCCCCGGCTAATCAGCAACCAGCAATCCTCTCTTCAGGAGGGGATGAACATTGCATTCTAAAAGGGGCGGGCGCCAAACCCGTCCCTTTACGTTTGTCGGATTATTCACCAGCCCGCCGTTGCTATCATTCGTCTTACCTATCCGTTGCCAGTGTGCTACGATACCGAACAATTGCAGACCGATTTGAAAACCGGAATCACCGGAGGGAGCAGCTATGAAAGGACGAATTGTAGTCGTCAAAGAGTACGGCAAACCCTTTGAAATTCAGGAATACGACGTCCCCGAACCACAACCGGGGGCAGTTCTGCTGCGCATGACCCAGGCTGGCATCTGCGGGTCCGACCTGCATACGTGGCGGGGTGACCAGACGCAGGAGCACTCGCCGCTCCCTGAGACTGGGCGCGTCATGGGACACGAGGGCACGGGCGTCATCGAATATCTTGGTGACGGCATCGACTCCGACTACTACGGCAATCCGGTCCAGGAGGGCGACCGCGTCGTCTACGCCGCTGTGTTCCCCTGCTACCGTTGCCACATGTGCCTGCGTGGAGCACCAACTGGTGTGCAAACCGGCAGTATCCGGCCGCCGGAAACTGGCCCTATTTCACCGGAACCTATGGGGACTTCCTCTATTTGCCGCCACGGCATCCCTTCTTCCGCGTCCCCGATGAACTACCCGACAACCTGCTCGGACCGGTCAATTGCGCCATGGGTACGGTTACCACCGGCCTTGAGCGTGCCAACATGAGCCACGGCCAATCGGTCGTAATCATGGGGGCCGGCGGGCTGGGTCTCCACGCCACCGCCATGGCGAAAGAACGGGGAGCCGATCGCGTCATCGTGTTGGACCGCCTGGAAAACCGCCTAGCGTTGGCGGAAGAATTCGGAGCCGACTACACCATTAACATTGAGGAATTCAACACACCCGAAACCCGCGTCAGCCGGGTCCGGGAACTCACCCGTGGTCGCGGCGCCGATGTGGTGATGGAGTTGGTGGGACGCGCCGATCTTCTGAGGGAAGGCATAGACATGCTGTCCAATGGCGGAACCTTCGTCGAAATCGGTGACATCGTACGCGGCCAGGAAGTGTCGATAGATCCGTCCAAGCTGCTCCAGGGAAAAAACATTGTCGGCAGCCTGATGTATCGTCCGGCCCTGTTGCCCGAACTGCTGGACTTCCTGGTGCGTAACCAGGACCATCTGCCATTCGACAAGCTGGTTTCTCATACCTTCCCGCTGGCCGATGTCAATGAAGCCTTCGCCCAGGCCGAGTGGAGCCAGCGCCAAACTCAAATCACCCGCGCCATGCTGGTGCCCTAATTGTTGACGTTGTCAACGCGGGAAGCGTGGCGACGGGGCAATCTCAACGCTACGGTTCCGCCAGACCAGTCCACAGGAGGACGCAATGAAATTCGGATTGATGTACGAAATCCAGGTGCCGGAACCTCATTACCCCGGCATCGAGGCCGATCGCTACAAGCAGGTGATGGCCCAGGTGGAGTTGGCTGACGACGTTGGCTTTGACTACTTCTGGACGGTGGAACACCACTTCCTGAGGGAGTTTTCCCACTGTTCCGCCCCCGAGGTGCTCTACGGAGCCATTTCTCAACGCACCAAGCGCATCCGCATCGGCCACGCTGTAGCCCTGCTCCCCGGAGCTTACAACCATCCCGTGCGGGTCGCTGAGCGCGCCGCGGTGCTGGATATCCTCAGCGACGGGCGCATGGATCTGGGC